TGAGACCCCTATCTCTACAAAAAATACAAAAATTAGCTGGGCATGGTGGCATGTGTCTGTAGTCCCAGAGTTAATGGAAAAAACCCAAAGTCTGTAAAATAATTCTAAAGTTTTATTCTGAGCCGAGTGTGTGTAACTGACAGCCTAGAGCACATGTTTTCAAGAGGTTCTGAGAAAATTTGCACGCGGTATCCTGGTTACAGTTCGGTTTTATACATTCATGGAGACAGGAATTACATGTAAGATCATAAGTCAATACATGGAGAATATACCTTGGTTTGGCCTGAAAAGATGGGACATCACTAAGCGGGGACTTATAGTTTATAGGTGGGTTTAAAGATTCTTTGATTTGTAATTGGTTAAAGAAATAAAGCTTGTCTAAAGTCTTGGAATGGTTTTTTTTTTCTTTTGCCCCCTCCCCTCAACTTGGAATGTTTTAAGTTAAGATAAGGATGTCTGTTTGTCAGAGACAAGCCAGGGGACATTTACTGAAACTCAAGTGAGCTGTTAAATAAATTGATGGCCTGCAGGTGTAGTTTAAGCTTTGTCACATGGCCTTAGGTCCTATTAATCTTATTGTTACAAAGAGTAACTAGGCATGTCTGGCCTCTTTTCTCTTCATGGCTGGGAACTCAGCTTTAAGGTTTTTCTGGGGTCACCTTGGCCAAGAGGAGGTCCATTCAGTCAGCTGGGGAGGGCTTAATATTTTATTTTAGTTCACACCAGCTACTCAGGAGGCTGAAGCAGGAGGCTCACTTAAGCCCAGGAGTTGGAGGCTGCAGTGAGCTATGATGACACAACTGCGTTCCAGGCCAGGCAACAGAGCAACCCTGTCTCAGACAAAACAAAACACACACACACACACACACACACACACACACACACACACACAAAACCCTGCAATGTCTGTGAAGCACAATAAAGCAAAGTACAATAAAACGAAATATCCCTGTATAATATCTTTGTTTCTTCTCTAATTCCCTTACCATGTAATCTAAGATGTATTGGTTTTATAGCATAGTGTTGAAGTGTTGTTAATTTTACATCACAGTGTTTAAGTTATGAGATGTCAAGTAGAGTAAACATCACTCAGAGACTTTACCTTCTGCAGATGGAGTTAGTGCATTTTTGGTTGTACGCCATGTTAGGTAGAAATATGACTTATTATTGTCTTCACTTGGAGATTAAGTATGGTTTAAAGAGATGCATATGGGTGCCAAGTTTATAAGGGGTAGACTTGTGGTGGTTAGTTTTGTGTGTCAACTTGAGTAGGTCATGGAGTGCCCAGATATTTGGCTAAATATTATCCTGGGTATGACAATGAAGGTATTTCTGGATGAGATTAGCATTTGAATTTATAAATGAAGTAAAGCAAATTTCCCTCCCCAATGTGGGTGACTCTCATCCAATTGGTGGAAGCCTGACTAGAACAAAAAGGTAGAGTAAGGGAAAATTCACTCTCTCTCTTGTTGCCTGCCTGTCTTGCTGCTGGACATAGGTCTTCACCTGCCTTTGGGCTCATAGTCTGATCAAAATTTACACCATTGGCTGTCCGGGGTCGCCAGCAGGCCAACTGCAGATCTTGGGCTTCTCAGCCTCCATGATTGCATGAGTCAATTCCTTATAATAAATCCCTTTCTAGGCCGGGCACAGTGGCTCACGCCTGTAATCCTAGCACTCTGGGAGGCCGAGGCGGGCGGATTGCTTGAGCTCAGGAGTTCGAGACCAGCCTGAGCAAGAGCAAGACCCCGTCTCTACTATAAATAGAAAGAAATTAGCCAAACAACTAAAAAATAGCAAAAAAAAAAAATTAGCCGGGCACGGTGGCACGTGCCTGTAGTCCCAGCTACCTGGGAGGCTGAGGCAGGAGGATCGCTTGAGCCCAGGAGTTTGAGGTTGCTGTGAGCTAGGCTGATGCCACGGCACTCTAGCCCAGGCAAGAGAGTGAGACTCTGTCTCAAAAAAAAAAAAAAAATCGGTATCTACGTATACATTGGTTCTGTTTCTCTGCAGAATCCAGACTAATATAATATACATAGAAATCTCCTTAATTCTTTCCAGTGACCAGATTGTATTCCAGATGATGAATATGTCAGAATTTAATCATCTTTATTGATATATAGTTAGGCACTTCCAGTTTTTCAGTCTTTTTCTAATTTCACCAATGTAGCAATAAATATCTGTACACATACATCTTTGTGCACCTGAAGACGAAGGATTGTGATTTATGAATCTTAAAAGTGACAAATAGATATTTGTTCTGTGTGTGTGTTATATGACATCATGTGCCTTAGAATGCAATTTCTCAAAAGAAAAGTCTGTAATGTGTATGTTCTGCACAATGTCATGCATGTGTGACTCCTTAATACATATTTTAAAACAACAATTTTCAGAATAGCCAAATCAATTTATTACCATAACTAGCTAAATACAAGTAGGGATATTCACTCTAAGTATACTGCATAAGCAAGGAGAGTGCTTTCTGCAGGCCAAAGGACATCTGCTAATTCTTTATAGGACAACAAATGAGTCTCCTTGCACTTCTTGTAACAAACACCCACTAGAATTAAGATTTTGGAATCATTTCCATTGCAAATCCCCTCTTCCCACACCCCTTTCAAAGGCAGCTGCAATGTTTGGCTTCTAACCAAGGCCTACTGCACCAACAATTCTCTAAATTTTATTTATATTTCATGTGCAGTATGTTCGAACTCTCACTTTCCCAGGTGCCAGATGCTGGTTTGGACACATTCCAGTGGAAAGTGCTTTCCTGTAAAATAATAAAAGTAAAATGCTGAACAAACTGCCTCTTTATATCAGACTTGCACCTAGTGTACCAAAGTTAAGTACTCTAATAATGACTTCACTATTTTCCCAAATTTGCAATCCCCCAAACTCCCTCTTCACCTACTTCCACACCAAATACTTTGTCCTTTGGCTTCTGTAGGATGTAAATGCTTGTAGTCCTTTTACATTTCTTTAGTGTTCATTTGAAACTGTCCAAGTGTAGAAATCTGTCTAACACTCTTTCAATAGTGCCAAACCCATATACCCACCCAATGGCATTTCAACTATGATTTGGATGAGAAGATAAAACATTTTAGTCTATTTACAGCATTTTTAAAAACAGGATTTAAAAATATATCTAATATCTTAACATATGTCATATTAGTAGCTTCAAATGTTTTCACTAAAATGTGATGTTTTCTGTGTGTTTTATAATAATACAGTGGTGTAGAATTTTAGCATGTCAGTCTCCTAAGAATTAACATGGAATTTGCCTTTCCCAAAGGGTTCTTACCTGCTTCAAGGCAGTCCTGGATCTAAAGATCTTACTTGTGAAAGGAGCGACATTAGGTGGTGACTGAGAAGGTGGATCTAATTTGTAGAGATCACCAATCCACTCTTGGCTTCCAGCTCCATCTGTTCACCCGTTTATTGGTCATATTTCACTGAGCTGAAAACCTGTACAATTCCTTTTCCTACCCTAGAAAAATTGAGAACCTTAGGTGTGAAAGTTTATATTTGTGCCAAAAACTTTCGGTTATGTTCTAAGGTTTAAATTAACTACTATAAAGCGTGTTATCATTCGTGTGTGCGTGTGTGTGTGTAAAGCCACTGTGAAATAACAACATTCTGCTTGGTCCTGCTGGTATCTCTTCTCACGCTTCGAGCTCTGGTAGACCTCATTTTCTTTTTCTCTTTTCCACTCTTTCCATTAGATGGCGGTAGATGCCCAAGAAATAACTTCCAAAGCGGTGGCGGAGGGCTCGGAGAGGGGCGTTTTTTGTTTTTGGGTTTTTGTTTGTTTGCTTGCTTTCGTTGGGTCCTTGGTAGCTGAGCTGGTCCACACCAACGGCCCTCTATGGTGGGTGGGCATGGTATACATTTTTTCTCGGGTGTGTATGGGTTAGGTTGGGGGGTGGATGGGGAGTCTGGAAGACTTGCCACAGACCACCAGTTTAATCCAGGTTCTCCCTAAGCATCCGGGAGCATCTTGCCAGCTGGCAAAAAAAAAAAAAAAAAAAATCCCTAGAATTTTTCTCAACTATCAACAGACTTGATACAAGCTATGAAGCCGATTCAGGAGAGCGGCCAGCATTGACTTAGAGATGCTGTGGCATCTGTTGCATACATTTGTGGAGATGGAAGAGAGCCATTTGCTGGTGGGGAATGGCCGCTGCGACCTGTGGACTGAATCCCACACTGCGACCTGCCATCGGCCCACAGGCATTTCTGAATTTTGTCTCCTGTGTGCCCAGCACCCTATCGGAAGCCGCACTGGGAAAATAAGAGGTGGCGTCCTCCAGTCCACTTACAATAAATAGAGAGTAATAAAACATACACACAGAGAAATAACTGTCGAGCAGGACCTAGCTCGATCAAGTGACGTGTGTGGGGAGACGGTAAATTCTAGAAGCATTTCAGGAGGGGTCAGTGGGGGCCGAAGTGACCTAAGGCCTTGGTGTAGGCAGAGCAAGGAGCAGGACGGGGAGGAACAAGAAAAAGGGGTAAAGAACTCGGGCAGGGGAGCGGGAATCTTCTGCGAAGTCTGGAGAGAATATATATTTAATAACAGAATTGGGGAGTGGAGAGGAAATGGGGGCAGGAATGTGGCCAAGTCCCACTCAGCGCCGACTGCCGCCTCCGAAAGGGCCGGCTCGGCGGATCCTTATCCTTTCTTCACTTAGGCTCCGGGCATTCCCTCATAGTGGAGCGTGGCGGTCAGGCTCCTCGCTAGGGGGTTACCCCGCGCGCCGCGCTCCCCAGCGCCAGCTGCCGCCGACCCCGCGGGAGCGGACCCCTGGGGCCGCGGCCGGCCGCAGGGGGCGTGGCGAGGGCGGGCGGCCGGGGGCGTGGCATGGCGCCCCGGTGGGCGGGGCTCTCCTCTCCCAACGCCCGCGCGGTGCCGCTGCCGCCGCCTCCGCCCGCCGAGCGGACCGAGGGAGCGGGGTCGCCACCGCCTGCCCGCCCGCGTGCCGGGGCTGCGGTGGGCCAGGATGTCGGGCTTCCTGGAGGAGCTGCTCGGCGAGAAGCTGGTGACGGGCGGCGGCGAGGAGGTGGACGTGCACTCGCTGGGCGCCCGCGGCATCTCGCTGCTCGGGCTCTACTTCGGCTGCAGCCTGAGCGCCCCCTGCGCGCAGCTCAGCGCCAGCCTGGCCGCCTTCTACGGCCGCCTGAGGGGGGACGCGGCGGCCGGGCCGGGGGCCGGGGCCGGGGCCGGGCCAGGGCCAGGGGCCGGTGCGGCCGCAGAGCCCGAGCCGCGGCGGCGCCTGGAGATCGTCTTCGTGTCCTCTGACCAGGACCAGCGCCAGTGGCAGGACTTCGTGCGGGACATGCCGTGGCTGGCGCTGCCCTACAAGGAGAAGCACAGGAAGGTGAGCGGCGCGGGCCTCGTCGGCGGTGCGCAGTCGGCGCGCTCCCGGGAGCCGGGTCCTCGCCGGCCCCTGCTCGCCCACCCACTCCGCTGTCCCCCTGTCCGCCTTCTCCATCTTTGCACAGCTCCTTCCCTCCTGCCCCTCTGAGTGCCCGCACCCCCATCCCAGGACCCCGCCGGGTTGGGGCTCCCGCGGCAACTCCTCCGTGCGGATGCCAGGCTGCGCCCGCACTGGGAAGTTTGACACCCCTTGGCCCCTCGGACCCCGGCTCGTGTCCTGAATAGCCAAGAGCCCTCCGTCGGCACAGGTCGGGAGTCTAGCGTAGGGGGTGGCTGCGCTCGGAGGTCCCGACTCCGTGACCCCTCCCCCCACAGCCCCCTACCAGAGGTTGCCAGAGGCCCCTTCCATGCCTCGGCCACTTGGCTCCCCGCAGATACCTGTAGTGGGAGGGGAGTATGCTAGCCCCCTACCCATAATGCCCAAACCAGGAAGTTTCCTTTCTTTCTGAGAGAGATCTGCTTTCCTGGGGTCTCCTCCTCCCGTGACCAGGGACCTGGACGTCGAGTCCTAGGTCAGGCCGGTCCCCGCCCTGGAGAGGCGGTCGCTGACCGTGGCTTTGGGCGAAAAGGTAGCTCACTCCTCTCTTTTTCTCCCTCCCTTCGCCCCCCCTCCCCCGCCCCGGGCTGAATTAGTGGCCACAGGGGAGCTTTTCATTGTCTGGCTGTCCAGCTATCCTCCCCAGATGACTCCCAGGCACAGGAGTAGCCCCGTCCTTGCAGGTCTCTTAGTTGCGTGGTGGCCCACTGTTGTCTTGGCATACAGAATTACATGCTGAACTGATCCCCATGGATGCACATTGACTGGAAGAATGAGGATTTGGGGGAAATTTATGCTTTGCTGTCAACTTCTTATTTCTCTCAGTTTGCTGCTGAAATCAGTTTGGGTTTCTGAGTGTATCTGTTGGGTGAAAGTGTCTGTTACAATAAAACAAATCCAGGACATTTCTTAATGAAAAAAATAGAAAAAGTTTGGAGTTCTGTTGCTTAATTAGTGTGTCTGATGCAACGTGTGAATCCAGCCCCTTCCCTTTCTGAGGAAAATCTCGGTTTATGGAGTGGACAGGAGAAGGGCTATTCTGGGGGCGTTTAGGTTCCTCTAGGGACGAAGGTAACGCATGCCATGTGTTTCCTTTATGTGTACAGAATCTTGTTGAGAAGCATGATTTAGATTTAGTGAGAGCAAAAGGCCTGTACTGTGACCCCAAATGTCTTGGATAAATCATCCATCCCAAAGCACTGTAAGGTACAGACTTGGGATTTAAAGTATGAAATACAGCTTAACAAATAAGGTTTGTAAATTTAACATTGGAAAAATATGGGTTCACTAACCACACAGAGGCAAAACTTGGCATTTTAACCACTTTTTAATTTATTTTGCCCACGTTTGATTTACATGCTTGATAGAGTATTAATATGCATGGCCAGTACTTTTTGATTCAAAATATGGGAATCCTTTGTTTTCCTTGGTGTTGGTTTTCATGATCCTTTTGGGGAGAAATAATGTTCAGAAAGTGATTTACCAAAAAATATTTTCATTGTTATGGCAAGTTTCTGTTGTAGACCAAAGTCTGTTTGAAATAATGTCCTTACTGGGCAATACAAATGATTTCTAGCTTTTGAAAACATACAATGATGGTAAAATGTTGCAGGCCTAAGGCTTATTGTTGTGTTTTTTACGAAAGGGAAAATATATATGCTGGATAGTAAAAATATGGAGCAAATTGAGATGTTTTGTAAATTCTTAAAGCTTTTTCTGAAAAAGGAGAGTATTTGATACGACTTAGGCCTTGCCCGGTTCTCTATACCCCTAGTCTCTTTGCATGAAAAAGTCTTCTCTGGCCCTGGCCTGGACCTGCTAATTCCACCACGATGAAAGTCTGGATGACACAGGGCAGACTCTCATTTGAAAATGCAGTTCAAAATGCTGGACATGCCCAAACCATGATGTGTTAGCATCTCAAAAATTTATTTTTTTGCTTAGAGTTTTTCTGACACACATCCTATAGTTAGTTCACTTTATTCACTAAAACCAGTTCGGTTTTCAAGGGCATAGTTTCTGCCCCTCGATGTTTGATGTTCCTGAATCGGCAACTCAAGATCTGACCCCAGAAACATTCTTATCTGCGATGATATATACCAGGTAAAAAGACTCCAGCTGTGTTTCTTATGGAAAACATACTCTTGGAAATTACAAAAGCTATGTACTCGCTTTAAAAGGAATTATTCCCGCTCCCCCCCCAAACCAAAGAGATGTACAAGAAATTCCTTTCCTGTAACCGAGTTTTTGTCACCCTTGTTTGAAATTGAAGTGCTTAGAAGGAAGTCTATGAGCCTGAGATACTAATTTTACCATAAGAACAGTGAAAAGCCCAAGACACCCCTCGTTCTGGGCGCTGGATGGGCGAACATTTAACTTGTTGATGTACTCTGTCCATGTTGTTTCACCAACTATAAAAATAGTTTTAAAGAAGGGAATTTTGTTTAATACCAAAGGGAAACCAAAGTTCCAGAATGCTAATTTTTTTAAAGTTCTCATTAACATTTGTTCTTTAAAACCATTGGTATACTTCTTCCCCTTGGGATAACAAAGGGAATGGTTTTAATTAGTTATTGGCTGGCATTTCTCTAAAGAAAATTGAAAAATTATGGTGGGGAAAGAAAATGCTATGTGGTATTTTTTTTCTTCTTTTATTAATTTCTCCTTTATATAGTAAGAAAGTCTGTGATGACCATATATGTTAAGGCTGCATTTTGCCTGGCTCCTCTCACCTTGATTGGAGCTGTGAGAAAATGCCAAATAAAAGGATTCTGGCGTCTTTTTTTTTTTTAATTCTTTTTTTAAAAAAAGAAGGTTGTCCTGTTTCTGCTTGTTTCAGCAGTAGGTACAAAAGTAATTGCAGCTTCATTTTTTTGGCTTTCAAACCACACATTATTATATAGCCGTATAGAAATTGTAATTAGTTGATAATAGGACTTTGAGTGCATTTATAAGAGCAGTTTTGTCAGGAAACCTATAATCCTGAAGTTAGACTTGTTTTAATAAGTAGGTTTGTAGACGTTTTTCAGATTTCTGAAGAGAGAAAATGTGATGGGTAGTTGGAAAGTGGTGAAGATTTGGACTTTTGGGATTTGGTCTATGCCTTTAGATGAGTATAAGTTACTCAGTTGTCAAAACTGGAGAGTCCACTGCCAGGATCCACTCAGTGTCATAGAATTGAGCACTGGTTTTGGTTTTAAACCCACAGGACTCAGCTTTGCCTGGGCCAGATACCCAATGGAGGACATTTGGTCAGTGTGGGTGCGCTGACATCAAAGAGTGCAGACCATTGGCATCCTCCAGAGAGGTTTGTTAGGCTCTGGTTTGGCCCCAGAACTTCCTCCATGACAATAGGGAAGAGAAAGTCTGCAGAGTCAGGAGACTTTGGTCCAGTATCCCCTGGTCCTCCTGCTCCAGCCAGGGGAAGTGTATTTATCCTCCAGCCACCCTGGGTGGGTTGCTTGCTTTGGCTGTTCTAAGTGGTTCTTTTGGTTCGGACTAAATCAGAGGCTTGGCCTAGAATTCACCTGAATCCCTTTGGCTCTTTGGGTGGGGCAGGATTTGGTAACAACCCAAATAGTCTTAGAGCTCCAACACTCCCACTCTTCCTCAAATCCAAACACCAGCCAGTAAGAGAACAATTCCTACAACACTGAAAGATCACCTTCTCTTTTCTTATTCACTTTCGAGTTGGTAAAAGATGGCAAAAAGGTAGAGCTTTGAAAATTAGGATCTTCTGCTTTCCTCATAAGGAGCCTGGACAGGCTCCCACTGGCGTCTGTGTTTCCTTGAGTCAGACTAATAAAAGACAACAGTCCAATTATAGTAGTAAGAGCAATGTTCCTTGAGAGGCTTTTTCCTTGTTCCATTATTTGTAATGTGTTTTTTAATCTCATTTTTCTTCTCTGCATAATGAGGCAATCTAGTGTGATGGCTAAAAATACAGATTCTTTTGTCCCTCTGCCTGAGTTCAGATCCTCGAGCTGCCAGTTATTGCTGTGTGTCCTTGTACAAGGTACTGTACACTCTGTGCCACAGATTTCTCATTTGCAAAATGGAGATGATAATAGCACCTGCCTTATTGAATTGTTGTAAAGGCTGCACCAGATAATATACATGTGCCTAGCATATAGTAGCACTCAATAAATGCTAACTATTATTATTTGTTAATAAATTATCATAAGATACCATTTCACAGCTTAAGCCTTTGGAGTGTATCATATTACAGAATTGCAAAACTTTTATGAGGTACATTTTTTAACTTTTCAAACCAGTGACTTACAAGCATACAAGGGTATGTGGTGAAGGAGTCCAAAGAATTGCCCTATAAGAGATTATCATTGCAAAAAACCTAGAAGAATGAAACAATAAAAGCAGATGAATATATGATAATACTGTTCCTTAAAGTTCTGGGATTTTTTTTTTTTTTTTTGAGATGGAGTCTCACTCTATCACCTGGTCTAGAGTGCCTCGGCGTCAGCCTAGCTCACAGCAACCTCAAAGTCCTGGGCTCAAGCGAATCTCTTGTCTCAGCCTCCCGAGTAGCTAGGACTACAGGGATTACAGGCGTGCATCACCATGCCTGGCTAATTTTTCTATTTTTAGTAGAGACGGGATCTCACTCTTGCTCAGGCTGGTCTCGAACTCCTGACCTCAAGCGATCCTCCTGCCCTGGCCTCCCAGAGTGCTAGGATTACGGTGAGCCACCGTGCCTGGCCAAAGTTCTGGTATATTACTGATATTTACTGAGCTCTGAATTTATATTTGCCAGTGCAACTCCAGATCGCTGATTAATGAAGCCTAGGCAAGATAAAGGGCAACAACTTAAAGATGATCAGGCACCCTTCTTGGGAGAAATTATGTACCAAGCGATCATTTTGTGGTTTCCCAAATCTATTTAATAT